CGCGCATGCAGGCTTCTGCAATGACCTCAGATTTCTGGAATTACAGAATAGCGCCTCCAATGGTAAGACCGCGTTTTATACCCTGTGGACTACAAGATGAGTTACACTTCTGGGAAAAATTTGCATGTGGCTCTCATTTATCCAAATAAAAGTTTCCAGACCTAGAAAGAATTTCGATGTAGAATGCAAATCTCATGGAGAAGACTAAGAAAACGTGAAAATAACTTTTTCTCCACATGCCTGACTTTTAGCAAATTCCTTCCCCTGCAATTTAGCAAATTACCATCTCCTTGCCAGTTTAAATAAAAAATAAAACAAACGAAAAAATCTGTTTCAACCGACTGCTATAAGGTTGAAGAACTAGAGAATATACTTCCAACTTTTGAGATGTCCTATAATTTAGTTCTCTGCTACTCATTAGCATACAGATTATTACTTTATAACTAATTTTATCCTGGGTGCACAGTAAAACATTGGTTCAAGGAGACTTGATATAGTGGTTAAAATATGCAGCTGCTAACTAAAAAGCTGGCAGGTGGATTCCAACAGTTGATCCATGGAAGAAAATTGGGGTGGTGTGCTTCATAGAGAGCTATAGCTTTGGAAACATTATTGGGCAGTTTGACTCTGTCCTATATGGTAATTATGAGTAAGATTTGACTCAGTGACTAGGGTAGTCTTGTTTTGCTTTGGTTTTTGGAATTTGGAAAATAAAGGATATTCATCTCTTTTTGCACAGTGTTCTTTAAAGACTTCTGGATTTAAGTGTCTGAGGCACTTGGCACATTCCTGCCCCAGCTTTTTCTTTCTAATTCAGTGGCATTACAAAGGATCTCTATTATTTTCTCTATGTATCTCTAAATGCTACCCACCCAATGCCTTGGAGTTTATTACAATGCAGAGCACCCATTTTCAAGGCCGTAAATCTTTACAGGATCAGAGAACCTCATTGTTCTCTCCTGGAGTGATGGGTGGGTTTGAACAGCTGGCCTGGTATTTAGTCCAACGCTTACCCAACAGGGCTGTCAGAGCACCTTCTAAATGCTACCAGACACCATTAATTTGTTTCTGACTCTCAGACTTTCATTCTTCTTGGAAGTTTTGTAAGATAAGTTGTGTATACCTGAACATACAAAGGAAAGAGCACATATAAAACCCAACATCATCCCTCATTTAAAGAGAAGAAATCGGTGGTATGTCTAAAGAGAAGTTGTTAAAATGCATGATTAGCACATATGTCACCTCTCAGACAAATTGATAATCTTAAACAATGTTGCAAAGAGTATTTGCCCTCTATGTATTGAATGCATTATTTCTGAAATCTATGCTACTTAAATATACAAGACTATATAAATTCCATTATATAGTTAATCTGGTTTTTTAAAAAACCTTCTATGAAAACAGTACAAAAAGAACATAATTGAATCGCTTTATAAACAATCTAATATAATCTCATCAACAACTCATATATTTGTGCAAAAGTACTTGAGAAATGATAAGGTGCTATTCACATATATTAAATGACTTGTTCTTGCTCCAAGAGTTTAAATGCCTTACCCTAATTTAACTGATATTTTCTTTTGAATGGTCTTATTGTGCATAATTAAAATAGAGGCCACCCTATCTGTAATTTTATTTCTTAGATTGGGTAATTGAACAATTCTGAGCTTATTTTTTAAAGTCATCTTTCATATGGGAAATTACCATTGTTTATCTGAACTACAATCTGATTTACAGGGATTTGATTTACAAGAAGCTTTTAAAAGATAGCTGATCTATGAAGTGAGAAAAATCTAACCTTGCTTTTCCTCTTTGACTAAGAAAACTGAATCCAAATGAAAAAAAAAAAAAACAGCATTGGGCAAATCTCAGGGAATAAAAAGATTATCTTCCTCAGTGTGTGAAGTTTCCGGTGCCCTTTCTACCTTTCTATCCTGGATCCACAGAAAACCAGGAATCGTGTGGAGCATTTTGTTCATTCTATTGCTTGGTAATAACGAGATGCAAATAAAATAATACTGAATGGAAAATGATCTTCTCTTAGACTAAACATGTTGACGCATTTACACCACTCCAGTATCACACCTGCAGTGAGAGGGAACTTTTATAGTTATCTGGATTCCATCTGTTCAATTGATCAAGCATACGTATGGTTTCTACTACAAAAATAAAGGATAATCTCATTTGAGATTACTGCTGGTTTCTGTTGTGCATAACCTGGTAAGATTGGTGATATGAATAATCAATGAGTCAAACTTAAAATTGGTGGAGATTCAAAAACACTCTGACTCCTATATGTTTCAGAATTTTCTAGATAAATAGGTCTAGTTCAATTTACTAGATAACTTGAGAAACTTGGTGGAAACACTTCCAAGTGAACATGCTATTCAAAACAATATAACTTAAAATGAAATATTAAAGGAATTCCCAAACAGATTTTAACTCAAATCCAAACATCAGGCAAAAAAAACAGTGTTCATTTACTTACAGGTTGGTTTTGGTGATGGAAGAAATTTAGTCCGGGTAATAGCCAAAATTATGAAGATAATGACTGGCCATAAGATCAAGACAAGTGTCCAAAGCTGTAAAATAATGATAGAAAAAATAACTAATTATATTGCTGAACAAAGAACCTGATGACCAGAAGGCATATCATAATATTCCTACACAAGTTGGCTATCTGACTGTCCATAAAGCTTACTTATAAGAATGGGAGAAGGGATCTTTAAAATGCAGGAAACCTCTATATGATCCCAAGAATAACTTCTAAGCTTAAAAGCTTGAAGCGGTCATCTGAAATGCACTTTCTAGTCACCTCCCAAGACTGCTTCAAGAGTGATGATCTACAACTGAAAGCAACCAGTCAATCACTACTTTAATTGCAAACTTAGGGTTTCTCAGTTACCTGTTGGATAAGGTTCAGCATTAACAGTGCATACAAAGCCAACATAGTATCAGGCTAAGCATATCTCACCATCCCCATTGCCAGTTTTTTAACACCCAGCCATAAAAAGTAATGTTGCGCATTGGGGAGAAGGAAACTTGGTGGCCTGGTGGATTATGAGTTGGGTTGCTAGCTGTTCAAAACTACCAGTCGCTCTCTGGGAGAAGGGTGAGGCTTTCTGCTCCTGTAAAGTTGTACAGCATCAGAAACCCAAAGGGGCAAATCTACTCTGCTCTGTAGAGTTGCTATGAGTCAGAATTGGCTCAATTACTGTGAGTTTATTTTTGGAGAACTAGATAATAATGGTTCAATAAATATTATTGGGAAATGAATGAATGAATGCATGAATAAATGAGCAAAAACAGAGGTCTGTCAATGAGTGTAAATAGGAACTTAAGTTCTGTACAAGCCACCTATATACTCTTACACCAAATGTCTGCTTCTGTCAAAGTCTTAATACTCTCATCAGTGATTTTCTTGTCTGACTCCTCAACTGAAGAGTGAGTGGCTTTAAGGCAATGTCTCATTCATCCTCCTAGTTTCACTCCTTGGCACTAATAGGTCTCTGGAGAATGAATACTGCAATGACGTTTCTACAGAAATCTCCTTTTAAGGTAGTTCAGCTGTAGCTTTTCTCTCATACAGACTTGCTTTCACTAGTAAGTCACTAACTGCTCAGTGGTTTATGCAACTCTGAAACTGACTGCAGAGCAGTGAGAAACAAACTGATGAGCTTTGCTATGCAAACCGTTACAGCGCTTGAGCCAACCACAGAGAACTCTCTTCACCTTCTGTTAATAACGTTAAACTGAGACCTATATTTCTGTCTGGCTATGCTGTCAGACCTGTTCTCTGTCCTCTCCATTTTGCAGACACAATTTGATTCCCCCAGATCTCCCAGCTCTGCTTGGGGCTCTTTATTACTCCCAAACAATCTAAACTTATTTAATTATTGATCCCTAAGTAACTCCTCTCCTAAATTTTCTACTCAATTCTGCACCATGCGCCTAACAGCGCTGTTCTTACTGTTGGCAGGGCTGTCATCAATTACTTGGCCTTTGGGAATAAGGGCAAGTTGTTTGTTTTTCAAAAAATCATTTTATTGGGGGTGCATACAACTCTTATCACAATCCATCCATCCATCCATTTTATGTCGATATTGTAGATATGTTTATAGATATGTTGTAGATTTGTAGATATGTTGCCATCATCATTCTCAAAACATTTCCTTTCTATTTGAGCCCTTGGTATCAGCTCCTCATTTTCCCCCTCCCTCCCTGTTCCCCTTCCTCACGAACCCTTGATAGTTTATAAATTATTATCAATTTGTCATATCTTACACTGTCCAATGTCTCCCTTCACCCACTTTTCTGTTATCCACCCCCCAGGGAGGAGGTTATATGTAGATACTTGTAGTCGGTTCCCCCTTTCTTCCCCACTTTCCCTCCACCCTCTGGCATGGCCACTCTCAGCACTGATCCTGAAGGGATCATCTGTCCTGAGTTCCCCGTGTTTCCAGTTCTTATCTGAACCAGTGTACGTCCTCTGGTCTAGCTGGATTTGTAAGGTAGAATTGGAATCATGATAGTGGGGGATAGGAAGCATTACAGAACTAGAGGAAGGTTGTCTGT